CAGGACGAGAACCCCGGCCCCTGTCGGTCCCCTGCCCACCATTACCGCTCTGCCCATAGCAGCCTGCAGTCTGAATGCATAATGCTTGCTTCCTGGCCGGCTGATTCAACCTGTACCGTGGAAATAAAAAGAAAGGCAACCCTTCATCTCTTCGAGATACAGTCCGCGGGTGGTGTCTTCCTGAGGATTTTTTCTTCTTTGCTTCTCTTTTCTTATCGCTCAATAGTCCAGTGGTTTGCGACAAACACACTATGGAGGTAAACGCTCCACACGCACACACACTTATCCAATCTGTGGAGCTACTTCCTCCACTCCACCGAGGCTCCTCCTCCTGGACTGGGATACCCGAGTCCCCCAAGTGGTCTAAATGGTCTTGTACTGCCTGCAAGCACCCCCCACCCCAACCTTCAGCACCTGCTGCACTCACATAATAAAAACGTCCACCCCCCCAAAAATCCACCTGGTCACCAAAAGGAAACACTTAGACAACACCCTGCAGACCCCACAATCCGTGCTTCTGTTTGCTTCTTAAACCACACTCTCCCAGTCTTAGTAAATGCGAAATGAAATCCTTTATCCAGGTAAAAGTCCTGCAGAGAGTAGTCTACTCATGTTTCAAAAACAAAAGCTCTCTTTGTGAGAATCTCTTTTTCGCACACGTTTGGACATGGCAGAGCAGGAACAGCACAGGTGTCAATAATAACTGATCACATCCTGCAAGGGCAAGTCAGAGGATCTGCTGTATAAAGCCATATTGTTCTATTCCATTATTAAAACACTGAATAGGATTTAAAAGTTGAAACAGGACCAAATCATGCTGGGTTTTACGGATTAAAGTGTTCAACACAAAGGAGGTGCTATTTAAAAGAAGATAGACAATGAAATGATAGAATTTACTGCTTTTAACATTTTATTAATTTTTTACACACTTTTTATTTCACATCTCACTGTGATTTTATTTTTCAGTCTTCATCTTAGTCTTCTTCTTTTTACAGAGTAAATAATAGTAATGTTTAGGATTGTAGCTGCAATAAAGCAATACATATGACAATACTAATAATCTAAATGAAAACAAAGTAATAATTCTTTTAAATGGAGCTTTAGCTGTCGGAGTTCGTGGTGGACTCAGTGACAGCAAGGCATCCAGGTCCTGTCAGTGCAAAACAACCCCCACTCATCATCCCTCCACCGCCATGCTTGACAGTTCGTATCAGGTGTTTGTGTTAATATGTCATGTTTGGTTTTCTCCAATCACGACACTGTGTGTTATTGACTTGAATTAAACAAAATAGTAGAATTAGCAGAGGGAAATTCAAAATGACATAATGGTAAATTTTATGTAATTTTGCTATGAAACTAATACAAGGTGCCTCATACTTCCTGTTTTTTTCCTTTTCCATAAACTAAACACTACAATTGATATAAGTACAAGGAGGTTAAACTGCATTTTTATGCACAATGTAAACAAAGAAAATACTAAAGCACTCGACTGAATATGCATTGCTGGTGAATCAGCAGTAATCTAACCTTTGATGCAATTTCTGGGACTTAAGGGGTCCTGTGTTTTCCTGGATCTGTGTGAGCAAATGACCTTAGTGTCTTTTTACCCATTTATCCATTATTTATTGCACCATTAGTGTATTGTCTGAAAACACACATCCCACACAAGAGAATTTACATAATGGGAAATCCGATTATCAAGGAGATTTTATAGAAAGACACTGATTAAGGTTGATTAATGGGTGGGTAGCACATACTGTATCATACGCCCAGGCTTTGGCTGGACACTGCAGAGAATTAAGAAATATCCACTTATCATTGTTCTCCAATACACCCTCACTTGGCAGAGAGCTCAAATGTGAAGGAATTGTCAGAGTAACCAATAGTTACATGTAGCAACAAACACAGTTTTTAGCCTGTAGTATGTGAGTAATATGTTGGATGATTCTGAATTATTTCTCCCCCCTCTGGCTGGATAGGCCCATGTGTGTGTCTGTGTGTGCTGTAGACCATAGGCAGATATCATTGAGGGCGTATAAAAGTATACAATAGCTAGATAGACCCTTATGCTGAAATTATTCTTTTCTGTGGGTAAATGAAGTGGATTTCTATCCACTTCTTCTACACATGGCCCACCCGCTCTCTCCTTTGCATTCCTTATCTGTTTTTCTGTGAGACATTTGTGCACAAGGGGGAATTCCAGTATATTCTCAGTGGCAGACTTATCGAGCTGTCCCTTAGAGGGACATGCTTACAAATTTCCCTAGAAGCTCAATATAGATTACATGCTATATGAAGTTTGAGGCTGGAAGGTGAATAATTCAACCCAGTGGAATACAACAAACAGCATATTTATAGAAAATAGATTTTAACCCATGATTCGTACTTGGGCTTTATAAACTCAGTGCACTTCTGATTTTTAATTCACCCCATTCAGTTAAACTGTAATGTTAGCTAGCTGCATACTCATTTTTGTTGGCAGAAGAAAATAATTTCTACATAAAATTGCTCAAATGTTTTGTGTTGTTTTACACTTTGAGCGTCACAGTGAGATAGCAATTTAGTCCAGTTTAGTCTAAAAAAAATTGGGTCACCAACATCAGTACAGTCTAAATGGGTTCATTGGCCAGAGGGCGAAAAATAAACATGTATAATTGGCTGTGAGGTGCAGTATCCCTTTAAAACCATTACAGAGGGTTTGCTGGATATGATACTGACATGTGTTTCTACAGTTATTCTAATAATAGGCAGTCCAGTTCTACACCACTACTAAATAACCAACAGTGAGCCTAAAAGCAGCACCTCTCACATCACATAACATCACTGAACTTTATTTTTTCTCTGTAGGTTGGATATTTGAGTTCTTGTATTGGGTTGTGGTTTGTGAGTTTACAGGCGTATCTTCTAAAAATCTCACTAAGTGTGAATTACTTTTGTTGCTTTAAA